CCGCGAGCCCCACCGATTCGCCGGCGCAGCCCCGGGGCTGGCACCCTGCCGCCCGCTGATTGGCGCCCCCAGACGCCCGTTAGGGCGCGAGGCACGCCGGCCGAGCGCAGCGCGGGGCACGCACGGAAGACGAAGGGAGCAGAGGAGGGAAAGAAGGAGGCCGAGTGCCGCGGGAAGGGCCGGGGGCTGAGGAGGGCACGCGGACTCGCGGGCCACCGCCTCCCCACCTCCCTTTGCCTTCGGCCCGCCCCGCCTCCCGGCCGGACCGACGACACGCGCAGCCAATCAGCGTCCGGAGGACTCCGGTGTGAGGCGCGCGTCGGGGGCCTCGAATCGGAAGGGAGACGTCGCTCGCTGATTGGTCCCGCCTCTCCCGTCGAGCGTGAGGCGAGGCGAAGTGAGGCGCGGCTGGGTGGGGTGGGACGCTCGCGGTTTCTCCTGAGTTGGTCCTGGCGTGCTCCCACGGGGCTCGGGGAGAGGCGGGAAAGGCCAGTAGCCTGCTGCAGTGGGAAGAGGACGCCCGACGAACACCCGGAACCCTGCTGGCCCCTTGCCAGTGCCCCTGGGTGGGGCCTGTTGGGGTCTGTGCCTCGTCCTTTTCTTGGTGAAGCCAGGCGTAGACAAGTTCTCAGCCCTGGGGAAGCTCCGGGCCCGCCCGGAAGATAGGACGGGCCTGGGGCCGAAAGGGCTCTAGAGATATGGGTGCGGGCGCCCGCTGGGCGTGCCGTATGCAAATAAGCGGGCGGGACCGGGATGTAAATAAGGCTGGTTTGGGGTGCCGTGAAGGTTAAGGTAGAGAAATGACAGGTATTTAACTTAACCTGCATCTCGGGCCCTACCCGGAAAAGTCACTGTGAAGGCTATGAGCACATGGCAATAGGGACCTTATTGCTGATTTATCTAACCCTTCTTTTCTCCACTTTCGGGCTATGTCCCTAGGCCGCAACTTGGAATAGTTTGCCCTACAGAAAGCTGCGACGACCACAACGAGATAGGGGTAACCTTGTTGCTTTTGATTTAAAGATCCCCAACCCCCTGCCAATGAAAGATTGAGCTGAATCACATCAAGTATTAAGCGCCTACTATGTTAAGCAGAGCATATCATAGAACCAAAGTTGAAAAGAAACCTAGTTTCGCACAGGTAGTTGGTAGCAAAAAGAAGACTAGAACAGGTTTCTTGGGCAGCTTGTCCAGCACACGTTCTTCTGTACTTCTTCATGGATTTGCTTGGAGATTCGAGTTATGCCGCAAAGCATCAACAGCAATACAAATCAGTAATTAGGAAGTATCAAATGAACATTTCAAGCAGCAAGAGTTTTTAAGTATACTGAAAGTGCGGGACCTTGGCAGGTGCAGTATTTGTTATCTCCTGAGTCTTACACATTTTCCAAATGTCCTTTTAAAAACGTTATTTCCACCACCTCTGTTCAAACATGGAACTATTCTCATAGGAAGGTTGTGATGAAGCACGTGAGTGCTAGACCTAGACGAATTGCAGTTTTGAATACAGCTCAGCTCCAAAATTGTAATCTTTACCAAAGTGGAGTTCACTTGAAATGATGCCTACTTTAGTTGGTGATGATAAAAATAAATGTGAAAGGGAAGACAGCAGGGCTTTGAAATTAAAGTCAACAATACTTAGTTACAAATACTTACACTAAGGTAAACCTACTCAGCAGAAATTCTTCCTTAAAAAGTTTGCTTCCAGAACGGTTTCTTTTATTGTCAGTTAAGAAGAAAGCTTACTACCCCCCCCCCTTTTTTTTTTGAGATAGGGTCTCACTAAAGCATTAAATTACTAACTTGTCCAAGCTAGACCCGAACTTGTGATCCTCCAGTCACAGTCTCCCAGAGTGTTGGAATTACAGCCATGTGCCACCACGACTGGCTCTAATAAACCCTTTTTTAACAAGTAATCTGTGAAGCGAACTCAGGAAGCCAGCTGGTAGAGCTTCTGTTTCCACTTTCCAGAGCCACCAGGGAAAGATAATCTAGACTAGGGCAAAGGCTATTCAACTTACAAGTAGGAAGACTGGCCCTGGCTTTTGGTCCTCCGTGCTGTCACAAGTCAAATCTTCAATATAAAATGGCCTATTAAAAACTACCTTGAGTCACACAAATATTTTTTCCCATGTGAGCAATGTGTGGATTTGAATGTCCACCTAGGTAGTAAGAGTGAGAACAAAAGCAGGGCTTGATGAGATTTCAGAAAACTCTGCCTGTGGTATGGAAATGAGCTACTTTGAATCTATAACTGTTTGTTTAAGAAACTTTCCAAGATCTAGAGGATTCAAAAAGAGGAAGAGGGGCAACCTGGCTACTAATGCAGTCTCCAAAAGGAATAGAAATGGGAGCATCCTACTGTCCCTTCAGTTTGAAATGCCTCTAAACCAAAGTGGGTCAAGACAGAAACTGAAGGCACATAGAGCAGGGATTGTCATGGCAACAATCAGCTTGGAAATCCACTAGGGTACCTGAAGATCTATCAGTGGCTCCCTATTGTATAAACTATATTGAGTCTGATTTTTATATGGGTACACGGCAAGTTTTAACCCTTTATTACTCATGCCACTGCAAAATCAAACCTAAGTCAATTCTAAATATACTTACATTTAAATTTACTGAAAAGATACATAAGAAAAATGGTAGTTCGTGCTGGAAAGAGCATGAGGGTCGTGAGTAGGTAAGTTAAATTTCATCATTAGTACTTCTGCAGTTTGAATTTTTGAAAAATATACCCATGTGATTTTTTTCTGAAGATAAAATTTATGTTTCATCTCCTCTCTGGTAAATATGTAAAGCCCTTCCTGGCAATCCTAGCCAAAGCTATATCACTCAACTATAACCTTTTTTTCTTATAATCAGAATGATACACATATGGTAACTTTGCTTTTGCTTGGGTTTGTTTTTTAATCCACTAGTTTGGTCTTGAGCAGTTTAACTTCTCATGTGAATATAACTTTATATCCACATCTAAATTACAGATTTTTGAAGCCAAGAGCAGCTTATTCCCATTTGCCTTCCCACACCTTTACCAAAATACTAAGTAATTGAAGAAAGGTAAAGTACAACATTTATATAATAGAAAAATTATATGTGTGTCACAGGCCTGTAGTTATTCTACAAGTTTTGCCCCATTCAATTTTTAGTTACCCTCAGTATAACTGTTGGGTCTCTTGTCAACATCCATATTACATGTGCTCATCCTAGAGGGATTAAATTGCAATGAACGTTAGTACATTCTTAGGAATAAGACATATACAAGAGAAAAAATTAAACAGGTGCTCACTAGGTATAGTATCTGCTGTGTGCCTACTTCATAACAGTATCAGTAGATTATGGTGGAGTCTCATTCTTTGGCCAGTGTCATTCAAAGAAAATGAGGCATAAAAATAGTTTTTTTAAAACCAAAAAAAAAAAAGTGAAAAGGAAGTGGGCTCTGTTTAAGAGAAAACTATCTGGCTAAGAAAGCTATATTTCTCATTCTTATGGCATAGGTTATATTTCTTGTCTACAGTATTTAAAGACAGAAATGATCATGAGATTAGCTGATGATTTGACTAATCCAATGACTGTGCATATATTACCTGGAAAATTACAATACAATTCCAATGCAATAAGCACTCCCATAAAGGGATTTAAATATTATCTGAGATCTACATGTTTTGGAAAAAGACTAAAGAAGGACTAACTTCTAAACCCTGAAGGAACAATATACAAATTGTTTAAAGGTCTGTTGTGAAGGAAGATAATATGGTAGTCATAGGTCAACAATAGGGCCTTATGCCTTGATTATAATTGTCTGTGCATGCCAATATAGACTGAGCCAGGCTGCTGCTAGGCAAGATAAGTGTATGAAGGTATAATACTCTTGGAAAATTTCAAACATATTAGCATAATTGCATTGATGAAGACTGAAGAGCTTATTTAACATAGCTGACTACAGTAGACAATAGATGCATAATCAGTGTCCTAATGATTGAATTAATGAGCCCCCATTGTTTGTCCTTACTATAAACAGCTCTTAGCAATGAAAAAGACATTTTGCTGGAGAAGTCTAACAATTGTGTTGGCTGATGAGTGGCCAGAATTTAATTAATGGTGGGAAAGAGGCAATTATTATTGAGTCCTAAAGATGTCAATGGTAGACTTAAAAGGATAAATTATATTGATACATAGATGTTTCATATTGGCTCCTTTTTGCTTTCTTTTATTATGGAGTCTTATTTTTGCATTTAAGGAAGCAGGTCCAGGCTTCCCTAAAGCCCTATGGACACGTTTAGTGGTAAGGATTATGCACATAACATCTTACCTTTCTGCTTTGCCACTGTCCACTAACTCCTCTCTGTCCCTGATCTGCACCCACACCATGCTGCAAAACACTATTCTGAAACTTCGCCAGTTTTCAATTTCCCAGTTACCATTACTTTCTATGCATATATGCTCACCAGCTGTTTCACAGTGAAAATAGGGGCAAATTCCTGGTCCATACCTGAACCTCCAGTGATAAACAGATTTATCTCTGTCCAGATACAGCCAGCCACTTAAGTGAAAGACTTGCTCTTCCTTCTGGAGAAGCCCTTTGTCTCTTTGATGAACCACTCAGTGTAGGTTAGCATCCACCAACACACATATATTCACACATGCACACACCAGTCACATACTACTTACTAAATTTTTACTTCAAAACTCCATCACAATCTAGAATCATCATATTGATTTATTTATGTATTGATATATCATTTGTCATCCCTCACAGCTGAATGTAAGTTCTTCAAGAGCAGGAAACATGTCTGCTTTGCTTACCATGGTATCCTTAACTCAAGCATGTCTATCTGATCAACATAGTGTCCTTAATTCAAGCATACATGGTGGCACTCAAATTTTGAATTAATGGGTATTTTTTTCCTCACATTCACTCAGACTCTGTGTAAAACTGAACTAATCATTTCCTTCTATTTTCCTATGTAGGTGTGTCTTGGGTCAGCTCCCTAGAAAATTAGGCCTGGAGCAAGGATTAAGTACTGGAGCTTTGTTTAGGAGATACAATTCCAGGGCAGCAGTAGTGAGGGAAAAGATAAGGAAAAATAGGGGACAATATATAGTTGTGCACAAGTACACTAAACACTGCTCCAAGGCAAGCCTTAAAGAAATACAGCTCCTCTTGGCAGGTGCTCCACTTAACCAGGCCAGACATCTCCACATATGTAGTAAGGAGAAATCATACCAAGGAACAATCTGTAGAAGGAAGGAACTTTATCCCAATATTGCTTACCTCCTGTTGGTCAAAGTTTATCCCACAGGGAATTACTATTCCCTCATTTCTCAGCTGTGTTATCCATATTCTTTGATAGTCACTTAGAAAACCAGGTCCCTGGCCCTGGAATTCAGAAGTTGTGGGAGGAAACTCTGAGCATGTGGCTGGTTGGCTGGCCTAAGGCAGTCAGACGGACCTAAGTAAGTCTCACTCATGGTGGCAACAAACAAAGAACAGGAGGTCAAGGGCCCAGAAAATCTGAAAAGACACATAAACAGCCAAATAGAGTAATTGTTGTCCCAGCAAAAGTAGGACCTCATTTGTTTTATTCACTGCATTATACCCAGCACTTACCACAATAGCCATTAATTAAATTTTGGTGAATGAATGAAAAGGATGCATCCTTAAATGACATCACCACCTACGCAGTCTACATAAAGAGAAACCTTGGAGTACTCCGTGTTCTTCCTTCTTCCTTAATTCCTATTTATCAAACTTCCTGTTGGCTCTACGTCCTTAGTAAATCTCAGATCCAGTGCCTCCTCTCCAAGCTCACTGCTCTATTCAGACCTTCATCATCTTTCATTGGAATTTTTGCTGTACAGTAGCTTAAACTGTCTTCCTGACACCCTTCTTGCTCCCTTGAAATTCATTCTCCCTGCTGCTAGAATTTTCTTTTTTTAGTAGCCTGTGTTCTAAATGAAATTCTAATATTACAACCTTGATTAAGTTACTAGCTTTTCTTTTTTTTCCCTCCAGAATAAAAAAAAGAAAAAAAAAGACTCTGTAGCATAACCTAAAAGACCTTTCATAATCTATTCCAGCCCAGGGTAGCTGCACATCTCAGCATTCTTCCTTGCTCTGTATACGACAGCTAGACTTGAGCTCCTGACAATTTTCTGATGAAAACTTATGTCAGTTTATGATAAGTTTATGACTTAGGACAGTTTTCATCCCTTATTTTTTTCATTCCCTGATGCCTATCCTGTGCTTTTGGTTTCCCTGGAATGCATCCCCCTCCCCCTCCCCCACCCCCACATGCTCAGTATGGGTTTAAAAGTCATTGTAGTTACAAGCAATAGAAAAAGCTGGTATTGGCTAACTTAAGGTGAAAGGGGATTTGTTGAAATGATTTGGGGTAGTCGATACATAGTATTGCTGGGAGGGCTGTACAAACAGATCCAGATAAGAAATAAAAGAACTGAGCAGCACCCAGGAACAGTTAAGACATAGAACAGCATACTGGGAGAGAGAGGCAACCATCATAGCCAGCACCAATCCATCTGGGACACCTCAACACACACTTTCAACTCAATGGCATTGGACACTGATATACCCACCACTCACACTACCAGTACTTTTGTTTCTGAAACCAGGATGTTGCTATAGTACCTGCTCTTGCCAACAAAATGGATACTCCACCAAACCTACTTTATATTCTTCAAGCTCCCTCTTTTAGACCTGGAGTACATCTATTAGGTTGAACAAGCTTAGTATATGTTTCTTGCTCTACCTTGCAAACAGGGCTAAAATGCAAGGAGCTCATATTTTAGAGGTTTCTATAATTGGGTACTGCTTCTCTCCAGTAATCATTAGAGAACTCTCCAAACAAAACTAAGAGGGTCAAGTGCTAGGGAACCCCCAAATGACAAATATCTACCATGTTCTCAAATTTAATAAATAAATTGGGCATCTGCCTATGCCAGGTTGTCTTTGAGGTACTAGGGATACAAAAATTAATAAAATGACCACTTTGTATCCACTAGGATGGTTATAGTCAAAATGACTGACAATAACAAGCATTTCTAAGGAGGTAGAGAATTTGGAACCCTCATGTAATGCTAATGATGATGTAAAATGAGGTGGTCAGCTTTTTAAAAAAATCTAGCAGTTACTCAAAAGTTTAAACAGAATCACCATATAACCCAGCAATTCTCTTAGGAATACATCCAAGAGAAATGGCAATATATGTTCATACAAAAAGTTTTACACAAAAATTCATAGCAGCATTATCTTTAAGAGCTAGAATATTGAAAAAATCCACATGTGCACCAAGTGATGAATGGATAAAAAAAGTGGCACATCTGTCCACTGGAATCATTCATCTATGAAGAGGAATGAAGTATGAGACATGCTACCATATGGGTAAAACTTGAAGTGTGAAACATTGTGCTAAGTATAAGAAGTTTATCACAAAGGCCACTGTCATGGTTTGAATCTGAAATGTCCCCCAAAGACCATGTTTAAAAGCCTCGGTTACCAGGCTGTGGAGCCTGGAGAAAGTGAGGTCATTGGAGTAATGACTTGAAGGGGATAATAGGACTCTGGC